GCATCGCGGCCGGCGAGGTCATCCAGAGACCGGCCAACGCCATCAAGGAGATGGTCGAAAACTGGTACCGCGGGGGGTGCCCGGGGTTGGGGCGCGGGAGAGCTGCAGGTGCGGAACGGCGCCGGGTGAGCGCCTGCCTTTGCCTTGCTGTGGCTGCCCCATCCCTGGCAGTGCTCAAGGCCGGGGTGGACACAGGGGCTTGGAGCAACCTGCTCTAGTGGAAGGGGTCCCTGCCCGGGGCAGGGGTTGGAGCTGGATTAGGTCCCTTCAACCCGAACCCGTCTGGGATTCTGTGTGATGAGTAGAAACAACTTATCGCCCGTGGGAGACCAGTTCTGTGTCAGCCAGGCGGTCCTTTCCTCTCTGGAATCACTGTTTGCTGGAGTGCTGTCTTGTTCTCTGCAGTTTGGATGCTAAATGTACCAGTGTCCAGGTGGTAGTGAAAGAAGGTGGTCTGAAGCTCATCCAGGTGCAGGATAATGGCTGTGGCATCAGAGTGAGTAAACCAAGCTGACAGCCATGTGCTGCTGTTTGCTGCTGTCTTTTAATACGCCTGTCAATGTGCAGACGTTGCTGATCCTGACTTGGGAGTGGAAAGTGACTGTTCCTCATCCCTTTCATGTAGAAGGAAGATCTGGACATTGTATGTGAGAGATTTACTACGAGTAAGCTGCAGAAATTTGAAGACTTGGCTAATATTTCTACCTATGGTTTTAGGGGAGAGGTAAGCTCTTCCTCCAGGTTTTGGCACTGTCGGGTGTTACCCCGTTGCAGTGGGGTTTACATGCTGTTTCATTCCCAATGGTCTTCGCTGAAGCTTCTGTTTCCTGAGCGAGTCTGCCATGTGGATACAGTTTAAAATGCATTTCTGTGTCTTTATGGATGGCTCGGGAGAGGTGTATGTTCTTTTTGCTTTCTGGAGTAGGAGTTGGTTGGGTTTGGTGGTGGTGTGGGTTCTTAAGCAGAACAAGGCCTGCCTCCTCAAGTGCTGCTTCAGAAACCTGCAGGTAGGAGACATGAAAGATTTGAGTGAAAGGTGACTCTTAGATGTCAGACGTTTGTCTGAATATTATATGCAAACCTAGATGTTAGAAATGCACGTTTGTCTTGCTTTGCTTTTAGTCAAAGTTAGTATCTCTGATCCCTTGGACTCTCCCCATTCTCCTAGGCTGTATCTAACCTGGTCTGAAAGAGGAGGAGTTCTGCTTTCCCCTCCAGGTGGACAATGAGATGTTTAAGTATGTTGCCTGTGCTCAGATACATAGATCCTCGTATGCTCCAGGGAGTGGACTGTTGAGTCCTCTCCTCACACACTTCCAGCATAATCAGCTCCACAACCAGTGGATTCTGGTCCTCAGGCTGTGTAGACCATTGAGTCTTCCAGGAAAACCACTGTAACCAAGCTGGCAGAGATAATGAAATGTTAGAAAAGCCAGAAGTGGTCCTGCATAAAAGTCAGTGTTACATGTACTAAAATTTGTTCAAGCTTTACTGACCTGCACTTTCCTTGTAAGGGTTTTTATGAACTACCTGCAAGCAGTATGTCAAAGTTTAGTGATGCTGGTTAAGGTGTGGACACTCGGGGAAGGTTTACAAAGGTGCTTTCTCTTTCTCTAGGCATTGGCTAGCATCAGTCATGTTGCCCACGTTACAGTAACGACTAAAACAGCTGATGCAAAGTGTGCATACAGGTAGGCTACCTGCCAGTTATCCACGTGTGTGCTGTGGTAATGAGCAGATACAGTTAATTCTCTTCAGTGCTCTCAGCAAGGAGGAGGGAACAGAATGTAGTTAATGGTCTTTTCAGTGAGCTGGATAAGGAGGGGGGGTGGGATGAGGAATTGTTTTTAGAGTAATTACAGAAAGACCCAGAAAACATAGTTTGAGTGATTTTTTTTGTTTTGATTTTCTGATTCTGGGTTGTAAAGGTAGGCTTTAGCTAAACGGGGCATAACTTGCTGAAAGACTTACGTGTCTCTTGTGCTCAAAATCCTGTCAAGAAGGAACCAGACCTTACACATAAAGTGGAGAATTGCTGATAACTGAAATGTAAAGTGTAGTGGAAGCATTTTATTAGTCCAGGTCTGGCTATTAAAGAAAGATAAAGTGCAAGAATCCTGCCTTTACAGGAAAAGCCTCGGCAACACAGTTTCAAAGCACAAATCCCATTACCTGCCCCTTTTCTTTGCTGTTATTCCCACTCTGCTGCTGCCCCTCTGGGTCCCAAGGTCAATGAAGACAGTTTTCCTTCAGCACAAAGGTGTGGGGGGGGATTACAACCAGTTATCAGGGTCCCAAATTCCTTGCTGGGAGGAGTGTTATGATGATGTGATGTCTTTTGTCTTCTCCCTTTTGCCATCATCGGTCTGTCTGCCCATGGGTGTCTGACAACTTCTTGTGTTCATTTTTCTGCCCAGAGCTACTTACAGCGATGGAAAAATCAAAGCTCCTCCAAAGCCCTGTGCTGGGAACCAAGGGACTCAGATCACGGTAGGGTTTTGTGCCTGTGCTCTCTTGTCCCCTTTCTGTTCCCTGCAGCACTCACTGCTGTGTGGTACATTGTCAGGTACGTGACAGCATCACCTTGTGGAGTATTTCCCAAGTGATGATGTGTCATTCGTTGGGAGGCTGGTTTTGTTTTCCTCACCAAAGAGAGCAAGGTAGAGTTCAGAAGTTGCTGGGGTGTTTTGGTTGGTTGGTTTTGGTGGGGTTTTTTTCCTTCCTTCTGAGGATAACATTGTTACTTGCTCTCAGGTATTTCAAAACTCTTCTGGGCTGCTGAAAGCCTCAATGGGCAGTTTGGGCTACAAGGAGCTCAGAATATGGAGAGGTGGTCTACACTGCATGAGCCAGAGTGGGGAGATGAGGGCTGGCACAGGAGACTGCAGAACCACTTGTTGCACAGTCATAGCTTTCCTGTATCTTCCCAAGATTTTAATGCGGGTTGGGATTAGGGTTGGCATTGGGATTAGGGTTGGCATTAGGATTAGGAAGAATAAGGAGCTCAGAATGGGAAGGAGCATGTGTGTTGCACAGTGCAGGGTGGAAGTGGAGGCCGGCCCTTGGAGCCCGCAGTGGGAGCGTGCACCCAGCCAGCTTCCCAGGGCAGCCTTCAGGACCATGTGTCTTGGAAAAGCAGCTGAGCTTTAAATTCCTGCCTTTCTCAGTATAGCAGAGAAGTAATTTGCACATTGCTTAAGTAAATAATGAATAATAATTTGCTTAAATAAGCAAAAGACCAGTTTAAGCTGCTGCTTTAATGACATTAACAGCCTTGATTGCAGCAACTGTTTTACTGTTTCCTTGCATTTCATTAAAACACGGTGTAATCTTAATCTGTTGTCAGAGAAGTGGTAAATGCCCCATCCCTGGCAGTGTTCAAGGCCAGGTTGGACACAGGGGCTTGGAGCAACCTGCTCTAGTGGAAGGTGTCACTGCCTGTAGCAGGGGGTTGGGACTGGAGGAGCTTTAAGGTCCCTTCCAACCCAAACCATTCCATGATGTGCAGTAGAAGGTCTATAACTATTGCTGAAAAGAGAGTTGTATTATTGGTAAAAATACTGATGTACCAAAATACTCAGAAGCATCCATGTCTCTGGAGTTGTATTTGCTTAGGTGAAGCTCAGCAGGTAAGGCAGAAATAGAATGTTGAGCCTTCATAACTAAAATATTCTCAGAAAATGTTGTGGTATCTGTTAAGAAGATGGATTTAGGTTAGTTACTGCCCTGGGTTCAGCTGTACCAGTTATTTTCCTTCCCAGCAGCTGGTGCAATGCTGTGTTTGGCTTTAGCCTGAGAACAGTGCTGGTAACACACCCTAGTTTTAGTTGTTGCTGAGTGGTGCTTACCCTGATCAAGGACTGCTCAGTCCCTGGTGCTTTGTCAGTGGTACTTAGTTGCCAGCTGGGGTTAAACCACAGCAAGGGAAGATTTTGGAAGTTATTTTTAATTGTGCTCTTTTTCTCGGTAGGTTGAAGATCTCTTTTACAATGTAATAACAAGGAGAAAAGCTTTAAAAAATCCAAACGAAGAATACGCAAAAATACTGGAAGTTTGTGGCAGGTAAATTGAAACAGGAGCTTCCAGTTCTTTCATGTGCCCTGGGGAATGCTGGGGTTTGTCAGAGGGACTGGCATGTGTGAGCTTGCTGTCACTTTTCAGGGGAAGTAACCTTCTCCTTCATGTAGTGCAGTCTTTGGCCTTAAGCTGGCAAAGGGGACATTTAGGGTGGATATAAGGAAGAAGTTCTTCACCCTTCAACTGTGAGGGTGCTGAGGCGCTGGCACAGGGTGCCCAGAGAAGCTGTGGCTGCCCCATCCCTGGCAGTGTTCAAGGGCAGGTTGGACACAGGGGCTTGGAGCAACCTGCTCTAGTGGAAGGTGTCCCTGCCCGTGGCAGGGGTTGGAGCTGGAGGAGCTTTAAGGTCCCTTCAACCCAAAGCATTCCATGATTCCCTGTTTTTCAGGTATGCCATCCATAACTCAGGCATCAGCTTTTCAGTTAAAAAGGTATGAAGATAAAAGTCTTTACAATGTCACTGTGTGTCTGTGTGTGTGTGCAGATAGTGTGTGTGTCTGCCAAGGCCAGGCACTGTGCGCCGCATCTTTTGCAGCGCGAGTAGCCTGTAGAACCTTCTTCCCTTGTACTGGAATGCTGGAGCATATTTGATGCAGTTCGGATAGGAAGCACGTCAGGTAAAAGCAAACAAGGCACAGATATATTTGTCAGGAGTTTCTTTTCTTTCCTGTGTGGCCAACGTTTTATTTTGTTGTCGCTTTATGAGCTGTTTTAGCTGCTTTTGGGGGTCTGGTTACTAC